ATATTTACCTCTCTTGACAACTTTTTATTATCTATATCCTCTGTCTTTCTGCTGGAAAAAACATACCTGCTGGATGTCCCTAATCCAAAAATCTGAAATCTGGAGTGCTCCAAAGTCTGACACTGGGAGCACTGATATGTTGCCACAGTGGAAAATTCCACACCTGACCCCACAGGACAGGTCACAGTCAAAACACAAGTGCACCAAAAATGTTGCATGGAATTAACTTCAGGCTATGTAAGATGTATTTGAAATGGAAATGAATTTCACGTGTTGAGGGGCTTATCCCCAAGATATCTCATTATGTATATGCAAATACTCTAAAATCCTGAAGTTCTGACATCCAAATACATCTGGTCCCAAGAATCTTGGATAAAATGTATTTAACCTGTATTGGCTTTCAGTTTCCTTTTTTCAAAAAAGGATAATTGGTTTAAAGCAAATTCACCTACTTCTTATATATGACTAGCTGTACTGATATTGGGATTTATGACTCTAAGGTATTATGCCAATCACTGAGGTTATTAAACATTGTATTTTTTTTTTCAAAAAGATTTACTTATTTATTTGAAAGTCAGTGTTACACAGAGAGAGAAAGAGAGGAAGAGAGGAAGAGAGAGAGAGAGAGAGAGAGGTCTTCCATCCACTGGTTCACTCTCCAGTTGGTCACTACGGCAGGAGCTGCGCTAATCCAAAGCCAGGAGCCAGGAGCTTCTTCCGGGTCTCCCACGCGAGTGCAGGGGCCCAAGGGCTTGGGCCATCTTCTACTGCTTTCCCAGGCCTTAGCAGAGAGCTGGATTGGAAGTAGAGCAGGTAGGTCTTGAACCAGTGCCCATATGGGATGCTTGCACTGCAGGTGGCAGCTTTACCCACTACGCCACAACACCGGCCCCTAAACATTGTTTCAACAAATTAAAGATGCCATATGCTATAAATTGCACCATTATTTTTTTTCCACTACTAACGAAGGGGGAAAAAAAGCATTGCTGATTAAACTATGATGTAATACTTTCTTAACCTTTAGCACTTGGTTGTTGCATTTAAAGTTTATGTGCAATTTTGGTCATGCCTCTAAAGGGAAATATTTGCTTCTTAAATATCAAATTGCGCTCCACTGTTGTTTTGTGCCTTTCTGCAAATGCGTTGACTTTTGTTTCTGACACACATTTTAACAGCGTTTCATTTTACCAGCATTCCACAGCTGTAGTAACAACCATGCCCACAGGCCGATGGAAGAGATGCTATCACTCGTGGTTATGAGCAAGTTCAAGACTGCACAGGAAGGGACAATTGCGCACGGATGCCAGCTGGGTGATGCGCGTAAGGCTCCGTGGATTACAAGACACAATGTGATTTCAGAAAGTTTGAAATGGGAAGGAATGTGTGTTTTAGAGTGGACTACCTGGATTAGCAATTCAGGAATCCCATTTGCTGTTCTTTCTCCCACAGAAAGGGAAGCAGATAAAAAGTTGTGCGGCTGAGGACTGGGAGTGAGCTGTGATTGCCGGAGCTGGTGTTTTGCTCACCGAGTCTGCTAGGCCAGCAGAGGGGGCTGCTGGCATTCTTATGGTGAGAGAGGACTTAGTTTTTTTTTTTTCTTTTTTGACAGGCAGAGTGGACAGCGAGAGAGAGAGAGAGAGAGAGAGAGAGAGAGAGAGAGACAGAGAGAGAGAGAGAGAGAGACAGAGAGAGAGAGAGAGAGAGAAAGGTCTTCCTTTACCTTTGGTTCACCCTCCAAAGACCGCTGCGGCCGGTGCACTGCGCTGATCTGAAGCCAGGAGCCAGGTGCTTCTCCTGGTCTCCCATTTAAGAGAAATGAGTGACATGTGGCTTTTGGGAATGGCGCTGTCAGTTAAGTTTTGGGGCAGACCAGTGGTTTGAATGTTCTCCTGTATGTTTCAGGCAAGCGACTTCCCTAAAATATCCACGCTGTGGGCCCAGTCTGCCTCTGGATGTGTGTGAGATGCACCAAATGCCTCGTGCCCACATGAAACGCTGTCTGACTCACGCTTCATTTTTCTAATTTTATCCAATTACTTCTCAAAGCTTCCTAAGGCTTGTGATGAACCTGAAAATTATCCAGAGCATAACACGTGCATTTGTCATTTATTAATTCATAAAAAGAGGGCAACAGCCACTACTTCTAGAGTGCTTCTCTGGCTGTCATTGTGATAAGCATTCTATCAACATTACTGTGTGTTTTGTTTATTATGGCCCTCTCCAAAGTAGGTCTAAGCATTTTAGTGATGAGCAAAACGGAAGTTTAGAGAGGATTTGTGACTTTTCTAGGGCCATGCAACCTGTGAGTGGTTAATCAGAGTTCAGAACCAAATTCCTTGTAATCAACAGCGATTTTAATACATTTTTGTATGCAAAAGTTGAGAAAGTGATAAACACCGATGAGCTGAGAGGTGTCTTTCAAATTGATGTCCCCATTACTTAACATGCTTTTGGAGATCCTCTTGGGATTGCCTTCAGGACCTGCCTTGTGAGTGTTGTTTGTGGTGGGAACTGTTCATCCTATGAGGTCAGATTTGGCAGGTCTACCGACCAAGATAAGGATGACCGTGAGCAGCAGGATGGCGCAATTGTCAGTCACAGAGAAATGGTTCCCATTTTCTTGAGAAGGTTGCAAAACCAAGCAAAGGCATTTGTTGGACAGGTGATGATGACTTGAGGAATATAAAACATTTGCAGCAATGCAAATACCAGGGTTTACAAAATAGCCATAACTCACACACAGCAGCTTCAATGACCAGTACTCACAATTGGAGTTGCACCTAAGTTTTGTTGGGGCACATCAGGGTTATCAAATCAACCACTCAAGGAGTATATGGCTCCTGCAAAAATTGTGTGTGTGTGTGTGTATTTTATTACACTCACACAGAATGCTAATAGGCTATGGAATCTGGAAGATTTTAGAAGCAATTTAACCTCAAGTATCCTACTCCAGGCATTTGTGTTAATGCCATGCCATCTGAAGGCATGTGAGCTTTTGATCCCTGGTATTCAGGCTCCTTTTTACAAAGGCACTTTGAATACTAAACAATCCTTTGCTAAAAAAAAACCATCAGGTATTTCATGTTCAAGTTCAAACACTTTCAGTCACTCCCAGCTAAAAATAATTCATCCTTTTCCCGCATTTGAATAAAATTCTAGTGAGCCTGCCTTGGTGCTCAGATCAGCTGTCGCCTGCGGTGGCTCTTGGTGAGTCCCTCCTGTCTCAGGGAGCAGAGCCTGCCCTTAGCTGACACAGGTGCTAGGGAGCGGGGGAGTGAGGCTAGAGCTCTTCAAAGGGATCTGCTCTCTTTTCAAACAGCAAAAAATACCTCCAAGTCTTTAGACTTCTCACCTTGAGTTTCTTTTCTTTCTCCTTGCTGTTTTGCCAGCCCACTTGATTGGAATGACAATTTAATTTGGGATTGTGATACTTATTACTACCTCTGACTAGGTCTAGTAAACACAGCAGGATTCCTGGTGCTGCCTTTCCCCTTTCAGTAAGTCAACCCCAGGCATGCTAGATTTCACTGACTTGTCTCTGCTCCTCAGTGTAGCACCTTGGGTGATGCCCGCCTCTTAGGAGGGGATTTTGAAATGTTCATGTTCATGGAGAAGTGTAATTAAATGACGTTTGTTTTGGTGCAACAGAACTTGAAATCCATGCTTAGTCTTTTGTAATACACATTAAAAATATTTTATTTATTTATTTAAGAGGTAGCCCTACAGACAGAGAGAAAGGTCTTCCATCAGCTGGCTCACTCCCCAAATGGCCCCGATGGAGCTGTACCAATCTGAAGCCAGAAGCCAGGAGCTTCTTCCGAGTCTCCCACATGGGTGCAGGGGCCCATGCACTTGGGCCATCTTCTACTGCTTTCCCAGGCCACAGCAGAGAGCTGGATTGGGAATGGAGCAGCCAGGACATAAACCGGCACCCATTAGGGATGCTGGCGCCATAGGCAGAGGCTTAGCCTACTATGCCACAGCATCGGCCTCTGTAATAATGCATTTGAATGAACTTTTTGAGGCCCCTTGTATGTTGGGGATTTATCCTAAATGAACCATTTAATGTTCAGCCCTGATGGTTGTAGATGCAGGACCCTAGTAAAAACTTGTGAAGTGAGTATATTGAAAAGCAAGCAGCTGGGGCAGCACCTCATGAGGAGCAAAGGAACTCTTCATTCCATCAATGTTGGATGCGCTTATTCAGATGCAGCACTGGGGAGAAGATGATTAGATTGGCTCGTTTTCCACAAGGAATTCTCACTCTGTTGGAAGTCCAGGCACAGGGCAACCTGGCGCTAAAGTTGGACAGAGTTAATAGAATAACTATTCATCTGTGGGCCTTAATCCAGGTCCATTTCCAAGCATATCTTGAGTGTGTTGGGAAGTTTCTGGGCTAGAAAATGTGTTGCTGTGAGCTGCAGAGTGATGGATTCCAGGGAAAGAAGAGGAATCTTGCAAAGAATAAACAGAAAAGCCATCTGGGGTCAGGAGCAGGTTTCACCCTGCTCCTCTCCCCTTTGCTAACATTGTCAGGGATGCTTGTTTGGAGATTCTTCACATGGGGCTTTAAAAACAAGCATACAGGGTTGGGCACATGGCCTCGTGGTCAAGGCACCTGTGTCCCATATCAGAGTGCCGGGGATCAGTTGCCAGCTGACTCCAGCTTCCTGCTAATGCAGATCCTGAGAGGCAGTAGTGTTGGCTCAGGTGATTAGGTTCCTGCCACAATGTGGGAGACCTGGATTGAACGGCTTTCGGGCTACTGCAGGCATTTGAGGAGTGAAGCAGCAGATAGATGCTCTGTCTCTCTGCTTTTCAGATAAATAAATAAGTGAAGAAAATATCAGTGCACAGCCTCCTAGAGATCATGCTTTCTTATTGCCATGGCAGGACTTTTAAAAACTATGACACCTGCTGTAATATGCAACTTTAGTTCTGAAGTTTTGGGGACATGGGGACCCAATGTTAGCAGTAACTGAAGCTTTCTCATAATGTCACAGGTGGTGTGGTCAACATTTTTTTGATTAGGATGAAAGCTCTAAAAAAAAAAAATTGAGCAGCCAAAGAGGTTTTCCTCTATATTAACTGTACGTCATCCCTCAAAGCATCTCACTAGAGAGGCAGTTTTGAGGGCTGAAGCAAGTAAGATATCCTCTCATCTAACCAACCTGAGTGGCTTTCTGGCTTCTGTGAGTGACACAAGCCCAGAGTGCAGTGCAGGGAAATGTGGGTGAAATGCACTGTGGGGTCTGGATGGCTGCTGGTCACTCTGTCTCTTGCCATTGCTTCACACAAGCCATCTTTCATCACCAAAAACTGCTACTCCTGGGATTCTCTGTCCCAAGCCATCGACACTCTGTATGTCAAGGCAGCACAGCTCAAAGAGACAGTCCCAGTAAGTACTAAGCTCTGCTGAGAGTGAGGGCCCCAAGGATGTTTCTAATCCAGGACAAAATTTAATTTTCTTTCTTTTATTGCAGGAAGACAGCATTAAAAATGTACGATTATTAAAAAAGAACACAAAAGAGCTGTTTTTGGTAAGCATGAAAGTCTTTTTTCTTTTTGTGTTTCTACTTGTTTGACTTTTTTCCTCCTGTGTTTTAATTTTTCCAGATAGTAATAATTAAGTAATAATCAGAGGGATGTATCCATGACATTAGAATAATTCCAAGATTCATGGTTTACCTTTTGCAATTTATTGTATCTTATTTGCAGACAAACTGCAGATTCCAAGAACAGCTTCTGTCCTTCTTCATGGACGATGTTTTTGGTCAACTCCAATTCCAAGCTTTCAACGAAACTGACTTTGTGGAAGACTTTCATTGTTTTAGGCAGAAATTGAGCCGTTGTGTAAGTATGCAGCAAATGTGGTGAGGGTGGTCCTAGAAATGTGTCTAGAAAACAGCCTAGAAAGCTGTCTCCCTACAGCGGGGAGTAGGAAAACTTCCTGACTGTCGGCTGGCTGTCCATGCGGACAGTCCATCCCTGGGAAAAGAACATCAAAGAGCCACACATAACTCACAGTGCCACCGTTTATTATTTCTTAAAGAATAGCACATATGGTATATTGGGGTGAGCTAAACTAACATGGAATGGTCCTCAAATCAATATGTATTTTAAAATCATTCTCTTATTATATGATTCCCAAGTCATTCATTCATTCATTTTTTTTTTTGACAGGCAGAGAGGACAGTGAGAGAGAGAGAGACAGAGAGAAAGGTCTTCCTTTGCCGTTGGTTCACCCTCCAATGGCTGCCGTGGCCGGCGCGATGCGGCTAGCGCACCGCGCTGATCTGATGGCAGGAGCCAGGTACTTATCCTGGTCTCCCATGGGGTGCAGGGCCCAAGCACTTGGGCCATCCTCCACTGCCTTCCCGGGCCTAAGCAGAGAGCTGGCCTGGAAGAGGGGCAACCAGGACAGAATCTGGCGCCCCAACCGGGACTAGAACCCGGTGTGCTGGCGCCGCAAGGCGGAGGATTAGCCTAGTGAGCCGCGGCGCTGGCCATTCATTCATTTTTATAAATATTTATTTTATTTTATTTGAATGTCAGAGTTACAGAGAAAAAGGGAGAGACATACAAAAAGAGATCTTCTATTCACTGGTTCACTCCTCATTTGGCTGCAATGGCCAGGGCTGGGCCATGCTGAAGCCGGGATCCAGGAGCTTCATCCTGGTTTCCCATGTGGGTGGCAGGGATCCGAACACTTGGGCCATCCTACACTGCTTTTCCAAACCATTAGCAGGGAGCTGGACTGGAAGTAGAGCAGCCGGGACATGAACTGGTGTTCATATGGTATTTTGGTGTTGCAGGACGCCCCCCACGCCACAATACTGCCCCCATTGCATAAATTTATTTATATTTCATTTTCTCCAAGCTGCTTGTGATTATCAGTCCCTCCCTCCCAACACACCCCCTCCCCAAGTAAGAGAATTTTTGTCATTGCAATACTTGGCAAGGGGCTAGGGATTAAGATGCTGGTTGAGATGCCTGGGTCCCCTATCAGAGTTCCTGGGTTCAGTCCCAGGCTTTGGCTCCTGATGTCAGCTTCCTGACAGTTGAGACCCTGGGAGGCAGTGGGGATGGCTCAGGTAGTCTGCTGCCCATGTAGGAGACCTAGGTGGGGCTCTTGGCTTCCAGCTTTGGCCTGGCTCAGCAGGCATTTGGTAATGAACTAGTGGATGGGAGTGACTTCTGTCTCTCTGTATGTCTCTTTCTCAGCCTCTTAAGTAAGTGCATGAATAAATAATACTGAAAAGACTTGATGATAAGGAGAATGAGGGGCTTGATACTGGGGGAATGCCAAAGCTTATGGCTATCAGTGTAGGATGGAATGGAGTCTTCCGAGGAGAGAAGACAGATCTGCACATTTCAGTATCTGGAAGACAAGGACCCTCTGCAGGCTTTTTTATCTGGGATTTTAAAGCTGTACCTTTTTCCTTTTTTTGCTAGAATTCTTGGTGTGCTTCCCATTGCACTAGCCATTCGATTTAATTTGATGTTATTCTAACTGAAGTTGTTAATGATGGTGGGGCCTTACAAAAAGTCCTTGCCAGGCTCAGTATTGTGTCTGGACAACTGGAATTCCAAAATGCATGTCTGTTCTTATGACTGATTTGGTTTCTTTGGCTCAAACAGCTAGAGAGCTCCTACTGATAGTGATAGCCCAAACTCAGCAGTATGCTAGATGAACACTTAGATGTGCTCTGCTTTTGGATAAATTTTTCCCAAAGGAATCTCCATCTGTTCCCACGGATGCTTTGAGAGACTTGACTCCTGGTAGCCAGGAGCATGTCACACCTTGCTTAGTTGTGTCGCTTACCAAAGGGGCTGGCTCCCCCTTGTGGCCGAATACAGTCACATCATCCTATCGGCTCCCCCAGGGCTGCCTGACTCAGGGCCTCCCTATATAGACTCATTGCGAGCCAGAGTTAACCTGTTTTGCAAACTATAGAGCTCATGCCCTAGGATAAACCAACCACCTCAGTGATACAGAAAGTGATAAGATTAGCCTGAGATTCAGAAAGCCTCTCCACACATTGCTTTAGGGAAATAGGTACTGATCTTGTGTTTAATTATTTGGCCAATCATAATTTTATATGTGTGGCAAAAGAAGCTGATATTTGTTTCCTGTAAACTTACTGAGATTCTGCTGTGTGAGGAATTCTTTTTTGACAGGCAGAGTTAAACAGTGAGAGAGAGAGACAGAGAGAAAGGTCTTCCTTCCGTTGGTTCACCCCCCCAAATGGCCACCATGGCCAGCACACTGCGCTGACCCGAAGCCAGGAGCCAGGTGCTTTTCCTGGTCTCCCATGCGGGTGCAGAGCCCAAGCACTTGGGCCATCCTCCACTGCCCTCCCGGGCCACAGCAGAGAGCTGGACTGGAAGAGGAGCAACCGGGACAGAATGCGGCACCCTGACTGGGACTAGAACCCAGGGTACTGGCGCTGCAGGCGGAAGATTAGCCTAGTGAGCCATGGTGCCAGCCATGAGGAATTATGAACTAGTGGTCGGGGCAGGGCTTAGCAGGGAGAAGTTATACAATGTGGGTGGAACTGGGATCATTATGTCAGGTGAAATAAGCCTGGCACAGAAAGATGAGTCCCCATGATCTTGTTCATGGGCAGAATCCAACAAAGCTGATCTTAAGGTGGCTGAGAGTAGAAGCTTCTTACCAGAGAGTGGGGTGAGTAGGGGAGAAGGATGGGGAAAGTTACTAAGTTACATTTGGTAGGAGAGCATTCTGATATCTTGTTGCACAGTAGGGGGACTATAGATAATGAAAACATACTGTGTATATATATATATATATACACACACACACACTTATTTGGCAGGTAGAGTTAGACAGTGAGAGTGAGAGAGAGACAGAGAGAAAGGTCTTCCTTCCGTTGGTTCACCCCCTAAATGGCTGCTACGGCTGGCACTGCGCAATCTGAAGCCAGGAACCGGGTGCTTCCTCCTGGTCTCCCACGTGGGTGCAGGCGCCCAAGCACTTGGGCCATCCTCCACTGCCTTCCCGGGCCACAGCAGAGAGCTTGACTGCAAGAGGAGCAGCCAGAACTAGAACATACTGTATATTTTGAAACAAACAAATAAAAAGCAAACAAGGGGCAGGCTTTGGTGCAGTAGCTGTCACTGCTTGGATGCCTACGTTCCATACTGGAATCTATGGTTTGAGTCCTGGCTCTTCTGATCCAGCTTCCTGCTAATGCATGCCCTTGGGGGCAGTAGGTGATAATTCAAGTGCTTGGGTCCCTGCCACCCAAGTGGGAGACCTGGATGGAGTTCCTGGCTCTGGGCTTCAACTTTGGGGGTCCTATCCAAGAATTTGTTTTTGGTGTTTTGGGGGTCTTATCCAATGTCTTGGAATGTTTCCCTGATATTTTCTTCCAGCAAATTCATAGACTCAGGTCTTAAATTTGGGTCTTTGATCCATCTTGAGTTGATTTCTTATATGGTTAGAGATATGGATCTAATTTCATTCTTCTGCATATATACATCCAGTTTTGCCAGCACCATTTGTTGAAAAGAGTATCATTACTCCACTGTGTGGTCTAAGCACTTTTGTCAAAAATCAATTGGCTGTATGTATGTGGGTAAATATCTGGGCCCTACGTTCTGTTCCACTGATTTTTTTGTCAGTTTTTATGCCAGTACTACTCTGATTTTTTTAAAGATTTATTTATTTGAAAGAGTTACAGGGAGGAAGAGGGGGAGAGAGAAAGAGAGAGGGAAAGAGACCTTCTATCCGCTGGTTCACTACCCAATTAGCTGCAATGGTTGGAGCTGGGCCAATCCATAGCCAGGAGCCAGGAGCTTCTTCCTGGTCTCCCACGCGTGGGCAGGGGCCCAAGCACTTGGGCCATCTTCTACTGCTTTCCCAGGCCATAGCAGAGAGCTAGATCGGAAGTGAAGCAGCCAGGACTCGAACTGGCGCCCATATGGGATGCTGGCACTGCAGACCAGGGCTTTAACCTGCTGTGCCAGAGTTGACCCCACCGTGCTGTTTTTAATTACTATGGGTTTGTAGCCGGCGCCGTGGCTCAATAGGCTAATCCTCCACCTTGCGGCGCCGGCACACCGGGTTCTAGTCCCGGTTGGGGCGCCGGATTCTGTCCCGGTTGCCCCTCTTCCAGGCCAGCTCTCTGCTATGGCCAGGGAGTGCAGTGGAGGATGGCCCAGGTGCTTGGGCCCTGCACCCCAGGGGAGACCAGGAAAAGCACCTGGCTCCTGGCTCCTGCCAGGATCAGCGCGGTGCGCCGGCTGCAGCGGCGGCCATTGGAGGGTGAACCAACGGCAAAAAGGAAGACCCTTCTCTCTCTCTGTCTCTCTCTCTCACTGTCCACTCTGCCTGTCAAAAAAAAAAAAAAAAAAAAAATTACTATGGGTTTGTAGCGTGTTTTGAAGTCAGGTGTTGTGATGCTCTCCATTTTGCTTGCTCAGGATTACCATGATTATTCAGGGTCCTTTGTGACTCCATATGAATTTTAGGATTATTTTTAATAATTCTGTAAACAATGCCACTGACATTTTGATAGGGATTGTATTGAATCTGTAGATTGCTTTGGGTTGAATAGAGATTTTAATGGTATCAATTCTTCCAAACCATAAGCAAGGAATATCTTGATGATTTCTTTTATCAATGTTTGATAATTTTCATTGTAGAGGTCTTTCACTTTGGTTAAATTTATTTCTAAATATTTGTTTTTTTTTTTTTTTTTTGTGGCTATTATGAATGGGATATCTTTCTTGATTTTCAGTGAGTTCATCATTAGGGTATTAGAAAACTACTGTTTTGGCCAGCGCCGCAGCTCACTAGGCTAATCCTCTGCCTGTGGCACTGGCAC